AACTTCTTGGGTTTACGGCACACACTGCAGACTCACTCTGAACCTGCAGAGCAGTGCCAGGAATGGAGCCAAACCAGTTTGCCATCTTATTATTCATGACAAACCATCTGGTTTTTGTTTGGATTTAATGGAAAAATTAAACTGCTTTTCTTTCTTAGGACAGACTTCTGCCATCTTCCTCTTCTGCTCCAGCCACGCTGTAGTGCTCTGTGTGTGACTGGACAAAACAGCACTCGGTTTGCTCTCCTGCAGAAACAAACTCCCACCCCTACTGGAGCTGAAAGATCTGCACATGCTCACGGGTTTCCAGTCAAAAGGAGCTCTGACTGTGATGGAGGGTGCACTCCCATGCCCGAGCAGGGTTTCTGCAACAGCCATGCATGTTTGCTGCAACCAACAGAGCAGTAACTACTTACCAGACTCGGAGATGTCATCCCAGTACGGAGAGTCAAACTCATACTCTGCCTTAAGGATCTGCTCAAAGAGTTTGGAGTCATTTTCATCATAGAAAGGAGGATATCCACAGAGCCTAATGAGGAACAAGCAAAGAGAGGTGTGACCACTGGACTCATCTCTGCCAGGAAGGTGAGAAAGGGAGAGAGAAGAAGGAGAAACTCTTGCTTAAGACTTGCCCCAATAAGTTTTCAAGCGGGGAAGCTCTGCCACGAGAGAGGTTTTTTCAGGAACATGCAAACCCACTTCTAAGACTGGCACTGTCCTGGGCAAAGAGGAATTCTGCATGGAAACCTGGTGCTGACTCATGCAGACATCCTGGCCTCTTTCTGCGTGCTTTCAGGTGTTGAACCAGAGGAATGGTTTGGTTACACAGACAGGACCCTTCCATCCTCTCCTACACACTTGGGAAGAGCAGATTTCACGAGCTCCACCCCACACCCACAGCACCCCAGTCCCTCTCATCCTGTGGCACAGCCAGCACAGCTGGTGCAAAGCAGGGCAGGGAGCCCTGCAGATGTGCCAGGCAGAGGGCAGGAACATCTGCAGGTTGTGCTGGGCTCTGTGTCCCCAGGCACGGCGAGGAGGATGTCTGGAGTCGCTGCACTCTGCAGCAGAGCCTGCCTGGGCTGCACAGGGACCTGCTGCAGAGACACAGAGAGCCTCTCCCTGCCTCACTCCTGCAAGGGACTTTGCTGACAGCACCTGCTGCCTTGCCTGAGCCAGCAACAGTCCTGTCCTGTCTGCAGTGCTGATGAGCACACTGCTCACACACCTAGCCCCAGGCCAAGCAGGACATTGGACACGAGATGCCTAGTCTGAGCTGACACACTCAGAGTGCAGCCTGAGTGCTGCAGAGAGCAGGACAGGCCCCGTGCCAAGGCCAGGCTGCTGCAGCCCTGGGGGTGTGCAAGAGCCTCAGCCAGCACTGCATGAGGCAACTGCAGCCACAAACTCGCGTGGCAGAGATGTCACCCCAGCTGGTGCTGCAGGCCCCACTCTGCACAGCTCAGCAGGGACATCCCTTTTTCAAGCTTTAACACCAATGTTGCCAAGCTCCAGACTGACCTCTGAGGCTGGTCCAAGCTCTCAGCACACATCCAGCTCCAAATGAAGAACATTTAACCAGCTTACATTTAACCAGCTTGTTCTAGTGTAACAAATATCAGCACTTACATCCCAGAGCCCTGGGGAGGGATACACAGACTGATTCTCACCTTTCTCCTCTTCCATCACAACCCTCAAGATGCTGTGTGCTTTCCTGAGGGGTTTGGAGGTGATGGAGTTGACAGCACCAGCACTGCAACTGTGAGATGGGCACTGGGGTAGAGATGCCCAGGATGGAGCAAAACAGCTCCTCCAAAGGCACTGGGAGCCAGTTCTCTGTCCCTCTCCCCTGGGGGCTCAGGGGGCTCCGTGTAAGAAGCCTGACAGCCCCTCATTAATTTCTGGCCTCCCTCAGCACTTTCCTTAGACAAACAAAGCAATGTGAGGTGAGCAGACAGTGCAGTGCATGCTGAGGTGTTGCCAGGCTGCTCTGCAGAGAAATAACTCTCCTAAAATGTGCACTGCACTAATTACCTCGGCAGAGCTACAGGAGCACAAGTTAGGGCTGCTGTGATTTATACATGCAAGAGGCAGGAGCTCACCGCTCAGCAGAGCTGGAGCTACAGCCCTGCCTGGGGGTGCTCAGAGACAGGGACCCCAGCAAGCCAGGGGCCCATGCCTCTCCAGCCCTTCCCCTGCCTCTCTGCAGGGCTGAGCATCTCCACGCCTGGGGTGGCAGCTCTGTGTCTAGGAGGTCACCACAGCCCACGGCAGGGGTGGGCACTGGGTGTGACAGGGCCACGCAGGAGGGTGCCAGGACAGCTGGGAGTGGGCACAGGGTGGATAACAGCCTCTTTTGGCACATTTTCCCTCGCTAGTGAGAGGTTGAGAGGTGTTAGTTGCTGTTACAGGTCATGGGCAGGGACATCCCTCCAAACAGCCCCAGACTGAGTGCAGGGCAAGGGCTGGTCCTGACTTGGCCAGGGATGGGATGAACCTCCTGCATAGGGGGAACCAAGGATGCTCCTCCAGGAGGCAAATAAATGAGGACCTACACCAGAGAGAATGTGAGCAGGAGCAAGCTCCAAGGTCTGCAGAGGTGACGTGGGGGGAGCACTGAGGCATCCTGGCACAGGGACAGGCTGAGAGCCAAAGCATGGGTGGTCTTGCTGCCCTTTCCCTCCAAACTAGAGTTCAGGAAGACACAGAATGTTACTTTAATGTTTGGCATCACTGGCTGTGTAGAAGGGGTGGGAAAGCCCCAGTAAATTAGCCTATCATGCAGTGTATGGCTGGAGGAAATCAGCTGGACTTCCAGCAACGGGGCCACTCTCCAAAGTCCATAATGAGTTTTTGGTTAATTCTTACAGAATCCAACTCCCACCAGCTCCATCTCCACATGCTGGGACATTTCTGTGTGAAAACAATGACCTCACTATCAGAGGTTCTGCTGCTTCTCTTCAGACACGCACAAACAGCCCCTCTGTCCTCGATGTGAAAACATGCTGCACGGTCCTGGGGGAGCTTCAGGCAGCTCCTAGTTGTCATCATTTTCTTGCAGTTTCACGGAGAAACAGCTTTTCAGAGTTCTTTAGCAACTTCATCACATCAGCAACAGATTTTCCCCTAACCTCCTGTTCCCAGCCTTGCCTTAAAAATGATGGGATGCAGGTAAGAAAAACACAGATGGATGTGCAAAAGAAAGATACTGCCAGAAGTTGTTTCTAGAAGCCTTCATGAGAGCACAGGGGGCTAAGAGGAACATTTTGTCACCAGGCAGAGAAAGTAAACCCCTGCAAACTCTCGGTACTTAGCAGGGTGATACCAAGGGCTAAATAACTCGCTCCCATGGTCAGTGTCCAGCTTGTAGCACAAGAGGCACCAGGGTTAGTTTTACAAGCAATTTGCTAGTTAGATTAGAGCAGAGAATTCAGTGAGTGCTCAAAGACCTGAGATGTATGGTGTGGGAAGTCATCCAAGTGCTATTTATAGGGGTAAACATGTGTGTTTCTTCTGTATGTCTTGGGAAAGGACCCTCATTCCGGCCGACACTTGTGCCCTCACAAAGCTGTGGACAAGGACATATGAGCATAGGGAATGCAAGACAAATGAAGAAGCAATAAGGAACAATCTCTTGGGGTTTTCCCAGTGTGTAACTGAGCTACCCTGAGCGCTCCAGCATGCCTGTGTACTGTGCCACTACTCATTCCCTGTCCAACACCAAACCCGTCGGGTATTCCTCGCTCTCGGGCTGCTGTGATGCCAAGCAGGCAAGATGACTGACCAGTTCTTCCCAGTGTGTGGCTCTAGGGTGATGGTGGAAGCTTCTTTTGGCATAATACACTTTGGTTAATCCTTCCATACAAATGTCACTGGTGACTCATGCACACCTACTTGCAAATCAAAAGCAACTCAGCAGCGAAGTGTGAAAGCAGGAGCCAAGATTTATCTCCAGATACTCATTGTTTATAAACAACAACATCGAACCAGTAACTGCCTTGTACTACCAGTGAACAGAACCAGAAGGAAATTCAAGGCAAAACGTGTTCAGCCTGGTGCAGAAGAGAAGAGATGCTGGCTGTGAATAACCAGGGGCTGAGGCAGAGTGTTCTGTGGTCACAGGTTCTTTTCCAGCTTTGAAACATGATTTTCTATTTCCAGCATAAATTAAGCAAATCTTCTTTATACCAGGTATGCACTGACCAGTGTTGTAGCTCCCTGAGCTTTTGTAACCCCCTGTGACCCAGCAAGACCCAGAGTCCAGCTGTTGGAAGCCCAGTGAAGCCTCTTGCTCTTTGTACACTCTATGTTTAAGCTGGACACATTATCACAGAATGGTTTGGGTTGGAAGGGACCTTAAAGCTCATCCAGTCCCACCCCTGCCCTGGGCAGGGACACCTCCCACCAGCCCAGGGTGCTCACAGCCCCATCCAGCCTGGCCTGGAGCACTCCAGGGACAGAGCAGCCACAGCTCCCGCGGCACCCAGTGCCAGTGCCAAAGGCACCATCCAAACCACCGTGTGATCAGTATACAGCTGAGCTCGACAGCGGAGCTCTTTCCAATTGAGAAATGCTGCAAGAGAAGTAACAGGAAATTTCAGGCTCTAAAATCAGTTAGTGTGGGTGAGGACCTCTCGTGCAAACAGGGTGTGACACGAGCTGCTGGTGTGGCCCTGCAGCCTGGCTGTGGCTAGCGAGAGGCACCAGGGACTGGAACTGAGACAGATATTCCTTCCTCAGACATCCTCTGTCTTGGGTATCACAGACACAGCTACTTCTCTGGAGTGTCAGTGCCACAGAAACACTTTGTTCTCCCAGTGTTCTAAACTGAGGGCTCTCGAGTGAGGCTGAGCTCGTGTCTGGAGGCTCTCAAACCACTCAGTAACAACCGCTCAAAGCATCTTTAATTTATGCCTGGCTTGGATTCCCCTGAGTTTCCATCCTCCTAAACGGCAGCAGTCTGACCAGAGTGGCCGTGAGGAACCATGAGAGGTGGGGCAGGACACTGTGCTGTGACTGCCCAGTGCATAAACACATCTCTGGCTGGTTTGGCCATGGGCAGGGAGCTCCAAAGCTGGCTGCAGAGCTGGGAACGGCCCCAGGTGGGTGCAGAGGTGTGCCGGGGGAGAGAGCGACCTCTCCTCCTCGCTGTCTTTCCTGAACCCTGGACATCTAAGAGATCACATCTGCAACTTCTGGCTGTTCTGGGAGCAAGGGTGAGAGCCAGGCCAAGGCTGGCCCCCAAGAGATGTGGGCTGGGTTTGTGAGACCACATGCACTCAGCAGAGATGGAGTCAGTGCAGACTGGAGCGTGCTGCAAACGCCCCACAGAGCAGATGAGTGCCTGCTGTGGGAGCAGGGGCTGAGCACAAAGCAGGGTGTGAGCCAACCACCCCAGCACGGGCATCTGGTGCCATTCAGCACGGTCCAGGCTCTCCCACTTGGCTCCATCTGCCGCTCCAGAAGGAAGGTCTGCGCGGTGCGTTTCCTCTGCCAGATCCACGTGGCTGTCCTGGACCCCCAGGGCAGCACTACAGGGCAACTGAACGGGTCACCCTGGGGCAGTGACCACTCCCACCCACCCAGGCTGGGTTCAGGTGCCCGCGCAGAGCCCAGCGCTGCTGCAGAGCTGAAGGGCACAGCACTGTGGGACTAGAGGCCCTGCCTGTCCTGCAGCCACAGCCTGGGACCAGGTGGGACACTGTGTGTGACTGAAACCCCTCCGAGCACCCACGTCAGGCCCCTGAGGGGAGCCCTGGGGTGCTGTGACTGGCTCAGGAGCTGACAGAGGCAGCTCACCTGCACAAGTATCGAGGGAGGTGCTTTGGTCTCACACCTGATCCCACCCAAGCACTAACAGCCTGGCAGACACACTACCATGCTCACGTGCTTTGGGTCACCACACACCAACTCATCTGGAGGAGCACTAGGGAGTGATTTGTGGAGCAGCCTCTGAGGCATTTTGGCATGTCTGTGCTCTTCCTCCCTGCTGCTCCCACTGGGCTGTGCCACCAAGTCAGGATCAGCACTGTCGGTTTTTGCTTTGTTTAGCAAAAGCCTTTTGCATCCTGCTGTTGATGGCTGCTCCCAGGAAAATCCATTCCCCTGGGAAGTTCTGAGCTCAACAGATTTTTCAAATACTCATGTAGATTGGGAAGTCAGTCACAAAACTAATGCTTGCTTTAAATAAACACACATGCAAATAAATAAAAGCTTCCTATACTATCTCAATATAGAAAGAAACTGTTTTGGGCAGCAAATAACTTATGCTCAGGACTAAATGCAAAGAATGAACATTGCACAGAGTGGGTAACACTGCAGTGAGCCTGGCACAAACACTTCCACAGCACCATCGCGAAGTTACTCGTGTTGGCAGCCACGGAACGGCTGCGTGAGGAGGAAGGGAACAAAGCAGGAAATGCTTAGTGCCTCGCTGGAGCTGCTTTTCCCCTCGGTCTTGTGCAACTGTGACAGATGTGTAAAGGGAAAAGTAACACGAACAGCAAGCTGGGAGGGAAAGACATTTGTTTCTGGGGCAGGCAACAGCCACACAGAGCCCAGGGCTCTCCTCTCCAAAGGCACAGGCTCCCTGTGCTCCGCGTGGTCACCCTGAGCAGCCTGTGGCCAAAGCCCAAGCTCCTGCTTTTCCCCTCGGTCTTGTGCAACTGTGACAGATGTGTAAAGGGAAAAGTAACACGAACAGCAAGCTGGGAGGGAAAGACATTTGTTTCTGGGGCAGGCAACAGCCACACAGAGCCCAGGGCTCTCCTCTCCAAAGGCACAGGCTCCCTGTGCTCCGCGTGGTCACCCTGAGCAGCCTGTGGCCAAAGCCCAAGCTCCTCCTGCACACCCACATGAACAGCTTGTGGTTCCAGCCCCTCACCCTGGGCACATGAATCTCTGCAGTTGTTACCTGGGCACCACGCAGGGACCCGCAGCCCCAAGCCCTGGGCACACAATGCCCCACCAGGAGAGGTCTCTAAGCTGGGGGAGCCACAAACAAGTTCTGCATTTCCTTCTCAATGCAAGGATTAGCAGTGATTTCATACACTCATGCACACTGATCTGGACTCAGAGATGCTGTGCTGTCACCCCTCTCTACACAGCACTGATGAGCCCTGGTACCAGGGTACCCCTGTGACCACAGTGGCCAGGACACCTCTCCAGTCCTTCCGTGTGTCGCCACTGGTGCAGTGACTGGTGCATCTCTTCCATGGCTCAAACACTGAAGGTGCACTCCCATCTCAAGCCCTGGCTGCCTCTTTCATGGAGACACATCTGCATACGAGGAGAAACCTTCTCCCTGTGAGGACAGCCAAGCAGTGGAAGGGGTTGCCCACAGTCTCTGCCTTTGGAGGATCCTGAGACACAACTGGGTAAGTCCTAGGCAGCCTAGTCTGACCTCAAACAGAACTTCCTGAGTTCACTCAATTGAAACTATCCTAGTATGCCTCTGTGAAGGGTGGGAGGTACTGAGGACAAGGCACTATATCTCCATACACATGAGTTCTGAGAGCAATCCACCACTTTGGAGGATGCACAGAAGTCCTGGTCCTGCAGCTTTCTCGAGCAATCAATCCTCACTCCTGTGAGCAGGATTGAGTCCCAGGAGAGGAGCCAATCTCATCCAAGAATGCAGAAGCTTAATGGCCTGACAGAAGAGTGACAGAACCCACAAGGCTCACCCTGTCCTGTGGGACCTGATGGTTGGATGTGATAAGGAAAATGATCCCTCACTTTCAGTAAGAATCTCAATACTTGGCATTATGTTTGGATGAGAATAATTCATTACAGTACATTAAAAGCTCTTTCGCCCTTATCTCCCTCTGTGACTTCCCCAGGGAACAAAAAGCCATTAGGGTGATGCCTTGTCTTTGGGATGTGCCTGTGGGCATGGTGCTGTGCTCTGTGGACACTGCCAGACCTGCTCCTTGGCAAAGTAACCTGAGCAAGGGATAAAACGAGTTCAGCAGTGCCAGAACCCAGACAAGCCCTTACTGCTGCACACAGTGCAGCTCGGGAGGGAGCAAGGATTTGGGCACTGCAAGGGAACTGCTTCACTTCCCACCACTTTGCCCAAATTTCAGCCTTTGTGCAACTGAGAGGTGCCCAGGGTTCATGTGATCCTGGGGCACAGGTGTCAGTGCTGTTTTGGCCCAGGTACCTGCATGGTGGGAGAGCATGGTGCAGGGACTGCAGACCCAGAGGTACTCACAGGATGTAGGCGATGACCCCGATGGACCAGCAGTCCACGGCTTTGCTGTAGGGCTTCTGGGCCAGCACTTCAGGAGCTGAAAGCAAAAAGCCACATGTTATAAGAACAAACATCTGAACGTGGTCCAGAGGCAGGACCTCGAACCTTGATGCTCCCGAAGACCTCGTTTTGTCCCTCATACACAGCCTCTGCCTCTGCAGATGTCCTGAGGGTTTGAAGCTCACATTCTCCCAAAGAAGGATGACTCCTGACGTGGAGCAAACTCCCCATTTTTTGACTCCAGGGGCAGAAAACAAAACTAAGCACAGCAAAATGCAAGACAGGCAGAGGATCATCCCCTCCCTGTTCTGCCAGAAAATGAGGCCAAGCTTTGCACAGTACAGAGAGGCACATCGACCCTGAGAGCATCACATGGGGAGCTCCAGGGGCAGCTCAGACACGGCTGTCTCACATCTGGGGGAGAGGGAGGAGAGCAGTCAGCACATCCCCAGCAGCTGGGCATCACTCAGAGGGAGCCAGCTGCCCTTCCCACCGAGCACAGCCACCTCGGGGGGAGAAACAAGAGCAGCAGCAACTGGACACACGTGTGAAGGAACTGACCCTTCTGCCACTTTCAGTCACCACAGTCTGAACTGTGCCTGCAGCAAGAGCCTGAGCACGACCAAAACTCTGTGCGGGTCTCCCTCCCCATCTGACCCAGTGAGAGTTAAAAGGGTGTGGGTTCTGTCTGGGAGTGTTGTGCTCTCCCTGCTGGGACCTTGCAGTGCAAACGCTTAAACCCAAATTTGAAAACCCTGTGACCCTAATCTTTTTCATGTAAAGAAGCTTTTGCTGTTTTTTCAAAGCAAAATGTCCACAATAATGCAAGAACTCACTGACTGTGGCATTCCTAAAGCAGCCTCACCACACTGGGTCTTAAACAGCACAGTATTTCCTCTGAGCACTTTGGAGTTCACATGCTGGAAGAAAAGTCATGAAGGGGCAAGTCCCAAGGAAAGTACTTCTGGGAGAGTTACACCTTCCTCTGCTAGGAGTCTTACCAACATCCAAGCAGTTAGTTACTAGAGAAACAGTGAAAAATCCCTGAAGCACATAGATACAGCAAAACTTGAGCCTCATGTTTAGCTGCTGAGAATGGTGCACTGGTAGGACTCTCCAAAGACTTAGCTTCTTCAGCTAGACAAGTCAACAAAACCAAGGTCAAAACTGCCAGCAAGGAAGGGAACAGGAAGCAGTAATGAGAAACAGAAAAGACTTTCTGGTGCCCTGGCATGAGGGTTTATAGAAGAGATCACAGGCAGACAGTGCACGAGGCAGATGAGGCATCCAGGCTGCATTTCCACAGGAGGAAAAATGATGGACAATGGTCCCAGGGCCTCATCCTACCTGCAGCACGTGAGGATGTGCTTCCCAGCCCAGGTGACCTGCTGGTTTACAGCTAGGCTTTTTTTGTTTAGCTATGCTTTTCTTGTAATAAGAGAAAAGCTAAAGGCTTGCTTCCAATGGGGCCCTGTCAGAACACTGTGCCATTACCCTCAGCCAGCACAGCTATGCAAATAAGCTCCCTAAAAATGCAGCTGCTGGAGGCCAAAAACAGCAACCCACGTTCCTGCAAAGAGCTCAGGTGATGGGGATTGCTCTGAGACTTTAAGCCTGTTGATCACACTGTACAAGTCATGAGGGTGTTTGTTCTTCCTAACAGCTTCACACTTCCCAGTGTTCTCCTTCACCCCCATCACGGTGCTGCTCCCAGCGGATCTTCTTGTCCCACAAAGAGTCTACTGCTATTTTCTGTGATTCAGATGGCTCCCCACGAGCTGCAAGCCAGGAGGAACAAGGCCCTTGTATGAAGGGTGGTGGCTTTGAGGATCCCCATAGGAGGAGTGCTGGAAATGTGGGAGGAACTGGAAGATCTCAATAGGGTTAAAATAACCTCTCACACTGGGCAGGGACAGAGCTCATCCAGCCAAGCCAACTGGCCTGGGGCAAGCCAGGACTGGAGGTTCAGCTGGTAGCTGTTTTAGTGCCAGTTTCCACCACATGGGCATGTCCTGCAGGTAAAGAAGTATGGACAGGCTGCACAGGTACAAGATTGCCAGGAAATCCAAGAGGGAAGGTGAGAAATGGGCAGAGTTTGTAGGGCCACCAAAGGGAGATGGTGCCAACCCCACTGCTCAGGACTCTGGAAGCTAACACTGAGGAGGAAGGACAGAGAGGAACAGCCCTGCACCACTGGGAGCACGGCTGGGTGCACAAAGGGCCCACCCAGCCCCTCTCCTGAGGCAAAGGCAGTGCAGGATCCATGTGAGCTCCTCGGCCCCCTGTGCCTGTCCTCTCCACAGTCAGACCCCGACGCACACAGGGAGCAGCTTCAGCACAAGACCAGAGTCCCTCCTGCACTGACTGCTGAACAACTTCCATGTCTCACACAGTCCTCCATCCTGCTCTGGCTGGCTGAGATGAAGTTTGGGGCTGTTTCTGCAGGACAGCAGGGCTGCAGTGCAGTGCTGCTGCTGTCCCTGTCCCGTGTGGCTGAGCCACATCTAGCTACCTGAGGTGGGACACAGCACAGCCACCCTGTCTAGCAGAGGTAACACAAGAAAACCTTGCATCAGGGGGTGGAAATGGAGCTGAGCAATGGCACTGTCCCGTGCAAGCTCTGGTGAGAGCAGTTCCCGTGCTTTGTTTTTAATTCATTACTCATATTACTGCCCAAACAGCTCCTGAGGTAACTTCTTGCTAATAAGGATATTCCAAAGGCTTATTGAATGTTTTCAAACCTTTGAGTCAAAGGATGCCAAATAGGTCAAAATTCAACACGGAAATCTATTGCTTAGCCAGAAGTCACGGCCTTGCACGGGGCTGAGAGAAACACGTGGCTCTGGTGGGAGCTGAAGTCGCTCCTGGAGCTGCGAAATGACCTTTCACAGCAGCACCAGAGCAAATGCAGTGAGTGAGGTGAGGTGTGCAGGGACCAACCACACGCTGGGGACAGCCCAATCTGTGGGATGGAGAAGCACAAGGAAATTTTACTCGAAGCTGTGCTGGGACGCAGAGGAGGAATTTTAAATCTCAGCAGGCTTAAGATATTATCCAGCCACAAACAGCTCATAACTCAGCCTTTCTGCATGAGGAGATCAGATTGCCCCAGACAGGCTTGCTAACATGGTTTTCAAACTTCTTGATGCTCCTAAGTCCCACATGCAGAAGTAATCAAAGCTTTTGAGGAACCAGCTCTCATGGAAAGCCACTCAGTGAGACCCAACTCCCAAAAGCTCTTCAGAGGAAGCTGCTGAGTGACTGGAGTCAGCGCTCGGTGCGTGCCCAGGCTGACACACCTCAGGGGTGGCTCATTCTCAGGCGTGTTCAAACAGCTCCTCCATCAAAACTGGGCTATTTCAAATGCTCTCAAGAGGAGCAGCCCAAACCTGTGATGTTTAAACGATAAATCACTAATGGCTTATAGAGATCTTGCCCGTGTCACACGATTCACTCAGAGTTTTGAAAACACCATGTGGTGCCGATAGGAGGAATGGCTCTTGCATTGATCTGAGGGCACTAAGCAGGTCACAGAACCAAAGAACCACCAAGGCTGGAGGAGACCTCTAAGGTCATCCAGTCCAACCATGAACCTGTCACTGCTGGAACCCCCAAACCCTAACCCAGATCCTCCAGTGCCACATCAGACACCTCTGAAACACCTCCAGGGATGGTGACTGCACCACCTCCCTGGGCAATATCCCAGTGCTGAACACCACAACAGGGAAAACATTTCTCCTCACACCCAATCTGACTCTGCCCTGGCTCAGCTCATGACTGTGCTGCAAACTGGAATGATGCTGGCAGACAGGAAAGCTTCTGGATGTGGACAAACTGCCAACCAGGTGTGCAGGAGCCACATCATCAGGTGTAACACTGCAATGGACAAGTTCTGTGCTGGGAAAATGCTCTCTGAGCAACCTGTTACATTAAAATAAAAGTACAGTGCTGAAGAGGAGTTGTTTAAAAAAAAACCCCCACCAACAAAAAGGAAAGAGAACAAGTACCTAAAGAGGTTTTCTTTGTGAGAGAGGAAAAAGCCCTGTCAGCCCTTCAGAAAGAAGCATCCACGACCCCCTGAACCACAATGTGTAAATCCTGTGCCCAGCAAGGCAACAACAGGCCTGGAGGCTCTTGTGCAGCTCTCAGCACCCAGACCATGAGCAGTGAGAGTTCTCCAACACCTCTCACAGCACTACAGCTCAGGTCACAGGCTCTGAGAGCTTCCCCTCCAAACACGATGCTTCTCATGCACATGGCTGTGCTGAGAGGCCACATGAGACCCCTAAGGGCTCCAGCAGAGTCACTCCCTCATCTTCATCAGCACTTCAGCAACGTCATCTGAGCTTCCTTCCCTGTGCCCCGAGACTCGCTGCAGTCAGTGCCCGTGCCAGAACAGAGTGCAACATGCTCGTTAAGGACAGAAGAGCTGACAGCAGGAGCTGTGACAATTGCTGTCTCAGCCCAGTTTGTGCTGCTGCCCTGGAAAACAAGCGTTACTTTATCTTCCCTGAGGTATAACCAAAGTCCTCACCGACATAGCCGGGCGTCCCGCAGGCTGTGGACATCACATCTCCTTTGCCCTCCATCTTGGACAGCCCAAAGTCACTGATCATGATCTTGGACTCCTCATCCTGGCTGTAGTACAGCAGGTTCTCGGGCTGGAAAGGACAACAAGCACAAAGCATTCTGAATACTGAGGTTCAGTGACATCTGTTGACTCGTGCATTGCATTTAATACAATCCTTACTTACATCATACACAAACATAGTTTGGTTCCCCTCAGTCTAAAGAGTCTTACAACCTCTATGGAGATCCTCTCCAGAATCCTGTATGGCAACTCATGGAAGGAAATGACATCCTGAGCCTTGAGCAACCTTTCCGGGATAACAAACTCCTTTGGCACCTCAGATAAGAACTGAGCCCCATCCCTTACTTGGGAGATGCGTCTGACATCACTTCAGAGTGATGGAACAGAAGGATTCCTTTGAAAGCAAGTAAATATGGCAAACCAGGTGGTGCAATGAACATTTTTACACAGAAAAAGGAGAACAGTAGGTATCAGAGAATTTTTGTATCTGCTCCACTGGAAACAAACTGTTTTGAGAGAGGAAGTGCCTTTACACTTACCAGACTTGCAGCGAGGCTGTTTTAGCTAGAGCTGATTAGGAAAAAATGCTGTAGCTCTAAGCACAGCGACTTGTTTATGCCGAGAGGAAACAAGAGTCACTCTACAAAGCCTCGTGTCAGGCGAGTGGGAGAGCCCACCAGCCTCCCCCTGCTCCAGCACAGCCCTCCATCCACTGCTGCACTGCACCGCGCTGGCTCGGAGCCCTGAGCCCACTCACCCCCTGCCTGGACCCTGGGACTGCAGCAGGGGCACAGGCCCTGGGCTCCGGGTCCTCACCTGCAGCAGCGAAGGGTAGCCAGTGTTGCAGAATAACCTCAGTATGGTCTGTTGCCCAAAGCTGGTACAACCCACAGCCTGTTGTGAGCTCCAGGAAATGGTGGAGAGCAGCTGTGGCCACACAACATCCTCGAACTCCCTGGAGGACATCCCAGCTCAGATTTGTAAGGAGGAGCAATTGCAGTGCATCAGCACCAACAGTTACCTTCTCCTCTCCACCTGCTCTGGGACAGGGAGATGAAGTAGTGCCAGGAGGTGACGTCGTCTCTACGCTACTCTGAGGTTCTAGTTCAGCTTCAACAGGAGGTTAAAGCATTTCCTGGCTCCCCAGCCCCAGCAAACGTGATGGCTCCATCCCTGGGGCACAGTGGCCATGGAAGGACCTACAGGCTGCACCCACAGCCGAGGGCCAGCTGGGCTGAGGCACAAAGGGAAACGATGCGGTGCCTAAAAGTAAAGACGAAGTTGTACCATCTCTGTCCCTTTCTCCTTGTTCCAGTGCTTCAGCTGGCTCTTACCACACTGACACTGGTCCAGGGACCATGGGGCCATGCCATGTTCTGCCCTTGGCTGGAGGCACTCCTCATTTTCCTGCTGCACTTTGCTCTGCTGAGGGGTTGGCAGAGCTGGTGTTAAGGGAAAGGTAATTTGTGCTAACTCCTCTCAGGTTCCCACTTACCACATTCAGTACGGCCCAGACACCCACCCATTCAGAACTTTAACTTGTCTGAAAGAACCCTGGTCCTTCCACTGGTGAATTCAAGGAGCATGAACAAGGTGGCTCTGCCTTTCATTCCTTCCGTGCATCCTGAGCTCCCCTGGACGTCACCTGCTGCTTTCTCTCCTTGTCTGCTGCTGCTTTACTGGATGAGGGACTTGGAACCCAGACCTGCTTCTCCCAACTGCAGCAAGTGCTATTTTGGTGTCTGAATAACACATAATTACAGTAAGTAATTGCTGTGGATGTTTCATGGGTTGTATTTTTGCAGAGTGGATTCTTTCCCAGATTTCATTTTGGGGATCACAGTTTGAAACTTACACTTGATATTTTGAGATCATAAAAAGCCTTATTATATCCCTGTTTTCCTCATCATGGTGTGTTTGTGCTGACAGAAATTCACAGCAGGTGTTCCTCATCCAGCCTCTTCCATGAGTCATTTTAAAAACTGACATGGTAGTGACAAAGACTTGCAAACAAGTGGAAGACAGAGAAGAGGAGTCAGTCTTTGCCCCAAAGTACCACTGGAGAAGTCGGTTCACCTACATTCAGCATGGACTTACATAAACTCTGACAGTGATTTGTGCACGAGTCACTTCCCAATCCCCAGGTCTGGCATTTCACTACAGGAACTCTGAAATCAGAGACTTTGTTTGCAGTGAGAGCCACAGCCTGCTTGAGACTGCAGAATTCTGAGTTTTTCCACATCATATGTGCAAAACTGCTATTGTACCAGCCCTGACTGCAAAGTCCTCACTAAAACCCATCAGGTGGGGAGGCTCTGGGGCATCTGTCCTGTGGTCAGACCCTCCTGGGACTCGTGTCAGACTCGCAGGGCCTGAGCAGGGTGCCCTGCCGCCGTACCTTGAGGTCCCTGTGCACGATGCCCATGCGGTGCAGGTAGTACACGGCGTCCAGGACCTGGCGGATGAGGGTGCTGGCATCCTTCTCCGTGTAGAATCCCTTCTCCACGATGCGGTCAAACAGCTCTCCCCCAGACACTCTGCAAAACACCAGGGCAAGCAGCAGCATGAGCATCTGATCTGGCACGTCCCTTCTAGCTCACTGATGTCTGCCCGGAGCTCTGGGGGCTCCCCAGGGCCCCAGAAAGCATTTGGGTCTGGTTTTCTCACCGTCCGGGGACTGGTCAGGCTGCAGTGGAGAGTCAAAGCCACTGCACAGTGGGCAGAGGTCACAGACTCACTAGCACTCCCAGGGGAATCACCCCTGCCCCAGCAAGAGCCAGGGGAGCAGACACTGCTTTCCAGCCTGTCTCAGCCCAGTGAGCTCTGCACAGGTGACTGGTCTCCTGGTGCTGGTCCCACGAGTCCCACTGAGGCTGCAGGGCTCGTCTGATCCCCTGGGGTTCACCTCTCACTGCGCTGGGCAAGGCTTGGGCTGTGTCCTGGAGGGCTGGTCCCACTCTCCTCTCCCTGCCAGCGAGTGAAATGCCTTCGGGAGCTGGGCCAGGAGCTCCACAGCGTTAGTACTAGAGCAGTCTGCACCTCTGACAATTCTAAATGCTCTCAGAGCTCCTCCTGCTCTGCTCGTTCATCGGCAGCCACAGCATCTTCAGGCAGAGAACAGCCCTGCCCAGTGCTGGCAGGAGACTGTTATCGATGAGGAGCCCAGATTATCAGTGCAATCAATCACCAGAGGACACAAACGAGGAAAGGCTTCCACAACTCAGAGGGGAACGAAGATAAAACCTTGACATCCTGCCATTTAATGTCTGCTGTATTGCACTTTTTCTCTGCCTTGCTAGAAATAACATGTTCTGAACCCAACCCTAAATAAAGAATGGACACATTAAAACTCCCTGGAGGAGTACCAGGGGAAACAGAAGAGGAAAGAAATGCCTGAGTAATTGAAATTATAAAACTGTCAGCAGAAACCTGCCCTACCAGGGTAAATAAAAGATTCCCATTTTAACAAGCAAAACCTATTAAAAAATAAAATGTATGTGAGATGTTTCTTCAGCAAGTTGCACCACTTAGCATATCATAAATAGCACCATAAAACTCGCCTTAAAAACAAACCCAACAAAGGGAAAATAACAAATGACTGCAGTCACTAACTGCATGTGGACTGGGAGCTCCTCACCGCACCAACGCGCAGGAATCCAGTCACTGCAGGAGCAGCTGCCCAGGGAAGCCTGGAGAGAAGGCTCCCACTGAAACGGGACACGGCTCAGGAAGGGAAACTCAGCCTGGGATGGAAAGAACATAAACAGCTAACGGTCCCACGGGTGCCAGGCAAACAGCCCCACCAGGCTGCTGAACGCTGGCACCAGGCTGGGACCGCAGGGCGGGCGACGCTCACCCCGGGCCTGGGTCCTGCAGCTGCTCCAGCCAACTCCCTTCCCACCCTGGTCCTCCCAGCAGCGGCTGCACCTCCCGCCCTCGAGCACCTGTGTGCTGTGCCAGGGCAGCACTGGCACCCCCGGCCCAGCGCTCTGCTCCCTGCTCTGCTGGCTCCTCACCCCTGAGCCTCACGCGGGAACTCAACTCTCTTTGGAGCCAAACTTACCCTGGCGGATCTGCTGTACCCAATTTACTGCTGTACACGGCAAATCCTCGCAGCCCCTCCAGGGCTGCACGGCCAAGCAGAGCCTGACCCAAGGCCTCGAGGGAACAGCTGGTACATCCACAGACACCAGCTCACTCGAGTGCCCACAGCATCCCAGGGACACCCATGAGGCTCCTGCTCAGCTGTGCGGCGGCTCTGGGGGCACAGGGGACTGGCACTACACGTCTGCACTCACCTACACCCCGTGTGCCCAGCACTCTGCCAGGGTCTACAAGCACCACGATTTTCACACCCCCGAGCTCCGACAGTTCCACTGGCACCTCCAGAGCAGACAAGGAATCTTCCTGGCATTAGCAGGTTGATCACACTCAAGTGTGCTCCTTGCTGGTCTGACCAGGACCCAGGGAGCACAGGGTGCCCAGGGAGGTGGGGGATGTCTCATCCTTGGGAACACCCAAGGCCAGGCTGGATGGGGCTCTGATGACCTGCTGCAGTTGAAGATGGGTTGGTCCCTTCCAAGCCCACCCATTCTACGATGCCATGACATACAAGTTGGTGCTTCAGCCTGTTTGTCTTCATGGCTCTGCACTACATGAAAAGGCAGAGCTGGAGCTCAGCAACAGTGACTCACCCATGAGCACCGTGTCAGTCAACAGTTCCATGTCACCACATGCGAATCCGAACGGATTCATCAGTGAAAAAACAGCATTTTAAGAGATGCTACAAAAATACACACAGTATGCACTGAATAACTCCAAAGTTTAGTTCTGCAAGGAGAAATCAGTCCCTGGTTTATTCCCTCCCCTCTGTGAGATGGCAGCAAAGCAGCCGATCACTCTTGCTTCTAGAAAAGGGAAAAGTACAGCTCTGTGGACAAACCACCACACAAAAGACATTTTCCAGTACCTGGAACTAACTTCTGACTTACTAACTACTGTCTTATTCCTCCACTTCCTCACAAAATAAGTGAATGGTTAAAACCTGGAGGAGATTCCTCACTGGACAGCAATTTAGAACTAGCTCATGTTTCAGCACTAACAGGTCTGGTTCACATTCTTTTTGCCTTGTTTTCCAATGGAAACCAACCTCGAGGTCCTGCCAGCATGGACAAGGGAGAACAGGCCCAGAAATAATGAAAGCAGATTCAACTGCAAAGGGACACTGTAAATTACACACTAGATAGTAAACAGTTCTGAAACAAGATCAGTGCAGCACTAAGAACTGTCCTGAGTAACAGAGAGGAGCACAGAAAAGAACAGCGAAGTCACCTCAGCTGGAGATTTGCTGTGAGTTACACTGAACAGACACATTAAATACATTCAGTTTGGGTTGCTGTGCATTCCTCTCTCTGAGCCTGAATCCCAGACCTGCTGCCTCACAGGTCAGTCTGCAGGCAGAAGTGGCCACAGAAACAGGCAGTGTAAAGTGAGGAACACCTGGCTCAGCAGGAGCTCTGAAGCTCCTCATTATCTCCTGCACCTCACAGAAATTCTACACTTTGTGGCTTTTCTCTAGGATTTACATCCCTGAGTGTCAAGGAAGTTGCAGAGAATTGGTAAAGAAAACCACGAAATTCTAGTTGCTTATGATGAAGTATTTCCTGAGAAATGTGCAAGTAACTGCAATAAGCACAAGGAAAATCCCATTTTATTGTGCATGCACAACTTTAATTTCATTCTAATTATCAAACTAAAAAATTAATTTAAATCAAATCTAATTTAATTCTGGTTTTAGGGTAGACAACTTCTATAAAAATCAGGAAGCCTATGCTGGAGTTGAAATATGTGCTGGAGTTATCAAGGACAGTCCCTGAAATACTCCATGGCCATGAAGACTCAAGCAAAAGGTTTAGGAGCAAACTGAGTACAAAGGAGCAAAGAACATTTTCTTCTGAGCATGCACGGCACACTCACACTTCCAATGTGTCTTACACAGCTCACACCCCCAAACCCTGCAGGGCTAGGGGAGCTCCTGCACAGAGCTCCCACTCCCCTCCCTCCTGCCAGCACCAGGACAGAGCCATCTCCAGGCTGCAGAGCTGCCAAGGCCAGCACCACCTCGGGGTGTGAGGAGAGGACATGTCCATTTCTGTGCTCATCTGGACAAATCCCACCCTGATGATCTGCACAGAAAGAGTCTGCGAGATGATTTGGCCAAAAGCATAACCAGAGTTGGGGAAGTTCAGAGAAGAAAAGCAACCAGGACCAGAGAAAAGAGAGAGCACATCCTGCAAAGAGAAGAGAGAGGACTCGAAAGGACCCTACAAAACCACAGAGTCACAGGATCACAGAACCATTTAGGTTGGAAAAGACCTCTAAGATCATCACGTGCAGCTGTTAATCCATCACTGCCAAGTCCACCACCAAAGCACTCCCAGAAAGGCTGGAGAAGGGATGAGGAAATATAACGAGTTATCTCACACCACAGATGAGGAATGAGGGACCCAACGGAATTAGCAGGTGGTGGATTTCAGACAAAAGCCTTTGTCATCGGAGGAGCAGCCCTGGAGCAGATGAATCTTTGGTATGACCCAATAAAGCTGCTCTCATGTTCTTATGTTTGTGCTCATCAAATTAATTATTGCATTATTCAATCAACCCTGGCCTGAATGTGCATACCTACATTAAGGGAGTCTTTTGATCCACTCACTTAAAATCAGATCTGACAGATTCAGAGATTTTAATGCCATCATGATAATCTAATCTGACCCCAGACAAAACAAAGATGGTACCATTTCTGCCTCAGATCTCCAGCTCCTGGCTGGACAAAGGACTATCGTTTAGCAGCACAGCCAGGCTTTACTTAGAAGATACCACTAATCCCTTGTCTGCTTTGTCCAGTAGTTAATTACACACACTGACTAATTACATGGAGGTTTCCCCGATGTCCTGTCACTGGAACCCTTTCAACACTGCCTGCAGACTCTCTAGCTGGATTACAGCAACTTCACTCTTCAGGGTTTGGTAAGCTCATTTTTCCTGTTTCCACCTGAAGTTTCCCTCCACAGAAGTTCTGTTGAGTAGCCACCTGTGCAGGTAACCTCTGTGAGGAGCTGAGCAGAAGCTGAGTGCACATACAGCAATGCTCATCTCCAGTCCCCAGTTTAGGATGTTAAGTCACCATGTTAAGTATCTTCACTTCCATCTGCATCACTAATGAACTGGCCATTCCTGGACAGGAGATGGACCAGGACTACATATCTGTGTTTCAACAGTGAATTCAGTATGACCTAAGCAGAATGCAGTTTCCAATTTCCACTCTTTCTAAACATCATCTGTTCACTGTACTTCATCTCATGAGTTTATCTCAGCGTTACCTCTGTTTTCCAGAGTGGGGAGTGAAACTCTCCAGTCCTGAGCAGCGCAGAGACAACACACTGCATTCTTACACTTCAGCTACTCTTACTGACCACCCTTACAGATGCAGCTTCAGCTAACTGAAACTGATGTGACTGTTCAGAGCAACACTACATCCTCAGGCAGCAAATTCAGTTCTGACAGAGGCTGCAAGGGCACCTGTCACGGCACTGACGGGACCGGGGGGAAGAGGTGTGGGAATCTCAGGATTGTCCATGAATTAATTGACTGATCTCTTGGCCAGCCACCTCTGCAGAAGGGACACGGCCCACGGGGACACAGCCAGGATGGAGCTGTCACAGCAGTGTATGGCACACCCCACTGCTCCAGCCCCACCGCTGCCCGCGGGGCTGGCACACCTCACCGCGTCCCCCTGAGCCTCTCCTCGCCTCCCACCTCAGGCCTGTTCTCCACATCTCCATCCCTGCCCAGCTCCGAGCATGGCAGTGTCCTCAAACCAGCCCGGAGGGGGCACGTGAAGCACCAGGGCTCAGCTGTCCCTGCCGCGGGACGACCACGGGGTGAGCTCCTCCAGCAGCTGCTGCCCACGGCATCCCCACGGGAGATGGGAGGAGTGAGGTGTCACCAGCAGCCAACGGAGCACCCAGGCAAAACTGGCCAGCAGAGAGGCTGGGGAACCTTGAGTGAGCCCAGCTGGGCACGGAGAGGGCAGGAAGGGAGATCCTGCCAGCACCAACCTCGGGGACCACAGCCCCACGCTCACTGCCTTCGTCCTGTGCACGAGCTGAACTTGCTGCCTTAGCAGGAACAATCCAAGCTCCAGGAAGGCAAGTATTTGCTGGAAGACCTAGCAGAAGCACAGTTCACAAAAGAGAAAGTCTCCAGAACGCCCTATATAACACAAATGTGCCCCAGGGCTTACTTTAGTCATCCCTCAATTATTGCCTCACCATGTCTGCTTTAGTCCAGGCCACCGAGATGCATCTAATGGAAATCACCAATTCATCACAGAGACAACTACCAAGCATATAATCACAGAGATGAAATCAGACACATGCTCACGTTAATAACGAGGGCTACAGAGAAAGAGGGAAGACTTTATGATTCTGTTATTTTTAAAGGCAGTTCTTTGCTCCTGTGTCTTAACAAACCAGGCTGGACAGCTGCCAGGCACTCTGGTTCCCCCGGGACTGTCCCCTGGCCTTGGGAGACGTTTCAGATACCCACATACACACTACTGCTCCAAGGCTGCCACCTATTCTCACACCTCACACAGTTGCCTTGACACAGAAAATCGTCTCCAGCTAATTCTTCACTAATCAACGCAAGTAGCTCCACAGTAACTTCATCTTCAAGACAGATGAGCAAATCTTTGCCAAGACACCAACCCTGAGAGGTCATGCTCAGTGTTGTGGGAGTTTGTGTTACCATCACTGTGTCTGTTTCTGTAATCTGGATGAGCCTTGAGCAACCTGCTCTGGTGGGAGGTGTCCCTGCCCTGGGCAGGGGTTGGGGCTGGATGGTCTCTAAGCTTTTATTAGATGGCAATCTTGGACTATGTCTTCCACAGCTGACTGAAAAGTCCCCAAGCTGAGTTTGGTCCTGCAGGGAGCACATCCAGCTCTCTGGCAGGCAAACCAGGTGTACTTCTGCAGTGGAAGAAGCCATTCCCTTTGGCCATTTGTTACAGACTAGTATGGAAAACAGATTCCACACTGCTGATTTAGGAAGTGCATTAGGCAGCCCTTAAACAATGAGTTACAATCAGGTATGAACACCCAGAGCCACTGCTGAAAACATTCTCCTGCTCTGCTGTGCTTTGGTGCTGCTCCAGTTGCAAGAACTCAGCTCCCTGGCCCAGCTCCTCAGCCCAGCACCGGGACTGACCCACCCCAGTGCCACAGCTGTCTGGTTTCTGTTTGGCTGTGGCATTCCCTCTGCAATATTAAAATGTCATCGGTTCAGTTTAACAGGCCAAGAAAAGGCCTTAGTCAACCATTTAACAGCTAAGTAAAACATCTGGCAAACGCACATCAGTCCAGGGACTGCATTAAAAGTTTAAGGGTTCAATTCAGAGGAATCTTGCTGGTGTGTTCTCAGGAGGTTAGGGAAAAGAAATGCCAAATGCTTCCCCCCTTGCAGCTGCTGAGCACCAGGCTGAAACCCCTTGTTAAAGTCCCTTCTGGTACAGAGCAACTCTGGTACATTAAAAGCAGCTCTGCAAAACACTCCTTTAAAGGAAACTACTTACTGGGAGAAGAGAGCTGACACTTTTATGATTTGGCCTTTTTTTACTAATTGTGTGGCTGTTGTTGTGCTACAGTGTCCTGCCTTGAGTGCTCCAGTTCGTCGTGGCCACCCGAACGCTGAGGCTGGAGGTGCCCAGCTCTCCCACGAGGCAGTGCCTAACATCCCAGTGCTCCTGAGGCTGAAAGTTCAGACAAAACCAGAAGAACTTTCAGAGCTGCCTGAAGTCCTGTTTGAAGACACAACACCGAGCTGCATTATTACAATTTCTTCCACGGTTCAGCTTCCTTAAGGACATGGTCACTCAGCAGAAGAGAACATCTTAATGAAGTGCTTTCAGATTCAAGCAGGTATTGACAACATAATGGACTGACAATATTGCTGTAGAATAGTAAACATATCCCAAAACACCTCAGCTTGCAAGAACAGAGCTCCCAGCTGCCCAGGCTGTACAGGAGCACAGGAGGCTCCAAGTGCTGGGTGTCACCCAGCCTGACGTGTTCACCACAGCACCACGGGCACACGGCCCACACAAACCTGGCCCAGCAATGTGGAAGGGCAAACAGCACTGCAGCTGCAATCAGCTTGTCCCTGCAGTGCAGGAGCCCCTGGGACCCACATCCTTCTGCAGAGTCCCTCGGGGCCACCCTGACACCAGGGCCCCCCAGCAGATCAGGCTGAGGTGCCTCACAGACACTGAAACCTGCAGCTCCTTGGTGGAGCAGTGAGATCTGGGCTTGCTCCAGAGACACCACAACAGTCACCATTGCTGCTGCCGCCGTTATTTATAGGCACAAAAATGTAGATCACTCAGAGACTCCTGGTGAGCTGCCAAACCAGAGAGAGCAGCTGGACCCAGGGCCCAGCAGAGCCTGGTGTGGGACATTCCCTCCTGCAGCAGCTCTGGGCTGGGAGGACACAGTGCTCTGCCACCTGCAAACGTCAACGGGCACGGGAAAGGGCAGGGAGATGCTGACTGAGCCCCTGCAGACAACAGGCATTTCCCCTCAGTACAAACTGGCTTTGAGTCCCAACAGATGGGATAAAGGTGTGATTCCACAAACCCTCTGCACAGGGAACAGTGAATGCAACCACCCAGAAACGATGGGCACGTGTGATTCCAGCAGGTCCAAACACAGAGTCAGGTGTTACACACCTACCAATCTCCTCTCTGACATGCTGCTCCCCCTTTCACTCTGGTAAAGGTTTCTTCTCCTGGTTTAGAGCACTGGGGATGCTCAGAGCTTCTCTCGCTGTGTTCCACCTCTCCTCACAGCTCACTGATGTGGGGAGGTCACCTTTGTGCCCTCATCACCCCCTGGGAAATGCCACTCCCAGCACTGCAGGGGCTCAGATCACAAACTGCCACTGTTCTCTTAATGGACTCCACACTAGAACTGAAAACCGGGAAGAATCCATTAAGATTTTGTTTATTTTCTGCGGTTTGGTACAACCAAACCCAAACATGAGCAGTATTTTTACCCAGCAGTCAGGCTGAGAACAGGTCACAGGGCACAGTGCGAGAGCAACCAGCAACTCAGACATTAATGCTTTTTATTAAACAGATAAAACACTCTGACAAATGCCTCAGATCTGTCTCAATCCTGTGCACGACCACTTTATGTCTCAGCTTTGGGGCATTGTTTAAAATTTACCCTAGCACTGTTTTCACGAACAGCCAATTTATTTCACCCAAGTGGAGATTTAAGACATCACAGAGCCATCTGGTGGTTTGATTGCCTGCTAATTAAACCTCCTCTCCTGGGCTCTTCACTTCCTCCGGTGCTGAGCTAAACTGTCTGCCCAGAGCATGAAAGCAGAAAAATTAAGCAGAGTAAGATGTGTGGAAGTAAAGTTTAAGCACACACAATTTCAGAGGAGACTTTTGCCATTGCTTTGCAAACGTGAGCTGCCTACAAAGCAGCGGTGAGACGTTTCCTCTCTGGCTTCCCTTAGCTTTTGCACAAGTTTAGAAGTGCAATAGTTTCCCAAAAAGCCCCCTACGATGGAAAAGCATTAAGCTTATGCAGCATTTCTATGGAATTGAGGGCTTGTTTTCACCACTTCCTCCTATGACTTCACAACTTCCGAAGGAGAATTTTATCTGACATTGGAAATGCAGAAAACAAGAAGAAAAATAGAGAAAAAATCCCCAGATACTGAAATTGAGCTGGCTCAGGCATTCCCTGGCACTTTTTCCCAGGAGGGGGTGACAGCCCCGTCCCCAGAGCCCGGACGGGCAGCACCGCGTCCCAGCCTGGCACTGGGGCAGAGCTCTGGGCCCACACTGTGACAGCTGCCAAACACACCTGCCCCAGCGCTCGGCAGAGCAAGGCCTGGGAAATTTAGCTAATTAACTTAGTGCTCATTACTGTTCAGAGACTGGAGCAAACAGCAACAGGCACCTTAGGAAGCTTGTCCCAGCCCCAGGGCTGGCAGCAGTGAGTGAGTGTCCACCAGGACAGCCCTGTCAGCCTGTACAGCCCTGTCAGGCTGTAAAGCTCTGTCAGCCTGTACAGCTCTGTCAGGCTGTACAGCTCTGTCAGACTGTACGGCTC